TATCCAACTAGTCCTGGCCTTTCAGATGGTGCAATTTTCAGTTCTAAGTCCATTGTTCCTTTCAGGTACTTTGCTAGTTTCTTTATTGCACTCCAATCATGATGGTTAGGCAAACTCACTTTTCTGCACAAGATGCAAACTGCTGCTATGATGTCAGGCCTCGTGGTTTTGCTCAAATAGAGAAATTTTCCAACTGCTTCTCTGTATTCTCCAATGTTTCTGAGAGGTGTTCCATCCTTTTCCTTTAGATATCCAGGTTCAAGGAGTATGGATGACGCTTTGCAGTTTTTCATACCAACAGATTCTATAAAGTCCATACTTTTTCATTTCTGGCATAGAAGAAAGGTTCTCTCCTCAAGTCTTTCAACTTGTATTCTGAGCTGTTTGACTTCTACTTCCTTGTTCAGTCCATCAGCTATTTCTTTAATATCCTCTTTATTTTGACAAGACATGATCAAGTCGTCAATGTAAACAAAAGCATACTGGTACTGTCCATTTTTAATTCTAGTGTACAGGCAAGATACAGCTTTTCCTTGCTCAAAGCCTTGCTTCTGCAATAGTCCTGTAATTTTGCCATTATCAAGCCTTTGCTCCTTGTTTTATTCCATAGAGTCCTTTGTTGAATCTGTAAATGGAATTTTCTTGTCCTTTGACTTTGAAAACCTCAGGTTGTTCCATAAATATTTCCTCAAATAGTTCTCCATTGAGGAATGCAGTCTTTATATCCAGATGCTCTACAATCATGTCTCTTGATGCTGTGACACTAAGAAGTGTTTTGAACGTTGCATGATTGATAACGAGTAAAAGTCTCAAAGTAGTCAGTCCCATATTCTTGTGAATACCCTTTGGCTACTAGGTGTGCTTTGTATAATTCTACAGTCCCATCATCTTTATGTTTGATTCTGAATACCCATTTGCATCCAACAGGCTTTCTGCCTGGAGGTAACTTTATAAGAGTCCATTCTTCTTTCTCATATATAGATAGTATTTCCTGTTCCATTGCTTCAATCCATATGTCTCCTTCATTCACAGGCAGGTTGCATACGTCTTTCCAGTTCCTAGGTTCTTTTGCAGATTGTACAGTTTCACAAAATCCATATTTCTTTCTGATCATCTCACACTGGTTGTGGGTTCTGCTGTCTCCTCTGGTGCGGTTCCTGCTTCCCCTTCTGTTCTGGTAGTTTCTTCAGATGGTGGACCTGCTGGTTCCCCGGTGGTCACCACAGGTAACCATGCAACCAATTCTTCAGGAGCAGTTTCAGAAATCTTTGGATCAATTGCATTGGAAGCACATGGTAAATTGCTTTCATCTATATACACAACATTGTGTTCCCCAACTGTGTGATTTTGGGGGTTATATATCCTGTATCCTTTTCCACCAACAAGATACCCAACTACAAGTCCAATTTCAGCTCTGGGGTCAAGTTTTCTTGTTTTCTTTTGTGGTATGTGAGCATACCCTTTGGAACAAAAAGCTTTGATATGCTTTAGTCCAGGCTTCTTTCCAAACCAAGCCTCAAATGGAGCGGTTCCTGTTATTTTCAAGGGTACTCCATTGTGCAAATACACTGCTGTGTTGACAGCTTCACCCCATAGGGTATTTGGTAAGCCAGAGTGTATTAGCATAGCCCTACACATGTCCTGAATTGTTCTGTTCAGTTTTTCACAAGACCTATTTTGTTGAGGTGAGTGTGGGATAGACACTTTGTGTTCAATCCCTTCAAGTTCTAGAAATCTTTTAAATTCTGCATTGCAATATTCTGCACCCCCATCAGTGCATAAACTTTAGGGTGCTTGGCCAAACTTGTTTCTAATTGTGGCCACACAGCATTTTAATTTATTAAGTGTCTCTTCCTTGCTCTTCACCATATACACAAAAGTATATTTTGTTTTGCTTTCAATAAAAGTCACAAAGCATTTTTCCCACCACAGGGTGGCACTAATGGGCCAACAAGGTCACTGTACACAGTCTCTAGGAACTTCTCATTGTGAGTAGTGGACTTGCCAGAGTATTTTGGAGCAGTTCCTTTTGCTTTGAGACATGTGCCACATCTCTCCTTTGCCTTGTCACAACTTACAGCAGAAATTCCACACTCCTTTATCAATTTTTCAACACTCTGCATCCCACGATGCACAAACTACAAATACCATGCATATAAGCAATTCCGATGATTACAAGAACCATTGCTAGTTTGGTAAACTTGTCTCTCATCAGCATTAACAACTTCTGATTCTCCTCTAACATTCACAAGATAATGAAATCCATTTATCTCCTTCACTTCAAATTCAATTCCAGACATTTCACCAACAATCCTACTTCCTTTCCTTCTCTTAAGCAACACATTATGATTACTTTCCATAAGCCTTTTGGTTGAAATCAAATTATCAGCTGCTTCAGGAATCAGAGCCACATTCTTTAATTTAACATCCATCACTTCTCCAGTAGTGAAGAGTTTGATTGGTTCTTTATTTGCTTGATAAACCTCAGGTCTATTTTCATTATCAAGTTCACAAAACAAGTCCTGATATTTGCAAATGTGTGTACAGGATCCAGAGTCTATTAAAAATACTCTCTTATTTTCATCACCATCTTCTAAAAGCATAACCACTATTTTCATTCCTCTGAGCATTTCTGTTAACATCCCTGGCTACATTGAAGTTTCCCTTTGTCTGAGGTCTAAAACCTCTGTGGTTGTTATGATTTCCTCTTCCACCAGGTGGCACCCTTTCAGTGTGACCACATGAGCCTTTGTCTGCCATCATTTTTAAATTCACAGTTTCTGGCAAAATGATTTTCACTGCATATAAAACATTCAATTTTCTTTTCCCTTTTAAATCTGCACGTATGTTGTAAACTCAAAACAGACATCTCATTAGACAAAGTATCCTGACTAGTTCTGGAGTCATATTCTTCCATTATAATCATCAACAAATAATCAAGTGTTAGATCCTTTTGGTGTCTTAAAGTCATTGCTAGCCATCCGTAACTTAGGGAACCCATTTAGTATAGGTGCAATCATGTCTAACTGGTCAGGAGTCTTCCCAAGTTCTTTCAATTGATTGTAAGTTCCAATAAGCTTCCTTAATTGTGCAGGTAAAGAGTCACTTTCCTTTACTTTAAAATCAAAAATCTGAGCCTTCAAGTAATAAATCTTGCTGGTTGTCTCCCCTCCATACCTCTCTTTCAGGTGTTCAATCATTAATTTGGAAGTCTCTAGGGTATGCAGGCTGGGGATATCATGGCAATTGACTGAATCCATAATCAAGGACTTGGCAAAGCCATCTAGTCTTCTGAAGGCACTTTTGTCTGGCTCAGTTGTAGGGACGTCCTTTGTTAAAATATCTTCAGCCCCATATATTTGCAATCTATTCTTTAGGGAACTCAGCCACCAATTAAAATTATAATGGGTCAATTTGAGTGGACCCCCTGGGTTGAGATCTCCGGTTTGGAAAATACTCACATCTGTGGCAGATGTTTCTGTTGTCATAGAAGTTGAAGTTGGATTACTCATCTTGATTTGCAGGCACTCAGCAGGCACTCATGGGGTTAATCCTCTCTTCAGCGCAGGAAGCAAGAGCTGGCTGGAAGCAATTGGCTTCTCCTCTGCTGGGGTTCCAAATGTGCAAAAAGCAAAAAAAAACCCAACAACCCACAAACAAATAAACAAAATCTTCAAAAGGGACAGTTTTCAGCTGCTCAGTAGCACTTGCAGGCTGGCATAGGTGAGATTCTGCAAATCAGATATGAATTTGAGTCGTCACCTTTCACAGCTGCAGTATGTGTGGCAGAGAGAGAAAAACAGGTCATTTTAAAAATCAGGCCTCAGAGCCTTCTAGCTTAGCCTCTCTCTCGATCCAATGAGCAATTAAAAACTTGCTTTTACTTAGGCATACTAGGCAAGACCAGGCAACTGGCTTCTGCTGCCAGAATATGTTGGAAAATTTGATAAAATAGTTAAATATTCAGAGGTTGCAATGGATCTTTGTTCGCTGGAGAGGAGGCATTTTCTTTCTATGTAAAAATCGTTATTTCTAAAGGGAAGGGTAGACAGGAAATCTACAAAACAACAAACACTTAAGACTACATGCTTGCAACAGCAGACAGACCAGTTGGTAATGGAGATTCTTCTTTCTTCTTGACCCCTAGAAGGAAATCACCTGAATGCATTAACCTATGATTATGAGTAAATAGACTCCAGTTTTTGGGCTTTCTCGCCATTGGTTTTGTGCCAGGTTCCCTTCCAGGTCAGTGTAAACAATAGCACACAAGGTAAACACATTAACCCTATAATGACTGAATTTAGACCTTGCAATATACATATTTCCAGCATAAACATAATTGGAACTGCTTAGGACTGCTCTCTATAAGCCCTTCAAAGAGCACCATTGCCACAGTGTCAGAGTTTTTATGCCAGCTGTGGAAAGGTACACCGCTGGCGGGGGAAGCCCCACCCCCAACACCCACCCCTCTCTCTCCCTTTAAGTGTGTGGAACCCGTGTTTCCTCCCAAGCCCAGAGTGCCAGCCTCGTGCTCTTAAAAGGGAAACGCGGCTGCTCTAGCTATGCTTCAGTGTAAGGGACATTTAGGCCCAGTTAAATCACTGACTCCAGAGGCAACCACCTAGCTTGGTTGCTGATATCAGTTGGAGAGGAAAAGACTTGGAGAACTAATAACCTATGGCATGTCAAATACATTTTTTTAATTACATAGAAAAATCTTCCAATCAAGTGCCCAAGAACAACATCTGCTGATCCATGTACCTGATCCTACAACAGATGCTATCACAACAACTTCCAAGACCAACACATTCAGAACCAAAAACAGGGTTTGGAAGTACAAAATAAGTGCAATGTAAATGAATTCGCAAACATTTCTAGCAACAGGCTGTTTGTTTTTTGACACTGCTGAAAGTATCAGTGGAAAAAACTGGGCAGTTTCCGCTTAGTCCTGGTCCAACCTTCATCTTTAGAACAAAGACTCTTAAAAAGACAACTCATACCTCTTGGTGGCCGTGGGTGTAGCTGGCACTGTGAGGGTTTGGGATTTGTTTGGGGATTTGTTTTCGGTGACAGGATGAGTGCTTCGGATAAGTCTGGGCAGCCCCGAAGAGCCATTTTTAAACTTTACACTCTTGATGTTCACAGTGGGATGCTTGCTTGCTTGTAGTCCTGGGGAAGAAAGAATATTAGATAGGTTATAAAGAAAAAAAACCAAGCTAAATACATACATACAAATTCAATTTCTATACCGCTCAATCCTGAAGGCTCTGAGCGGTTTACAAGGGCATATTACACTTTCCTAAATCAAAACAAGCTTGTTGGCTTTGGCCACAAACAAAAGGTACCAAAGACCCTCTACCAATGGGCTCTCTGTCAGGGGTCCCCCAAACTTGTTGAGCCGGTGAGCGCTATCGCAATTTAAAGAAAACAGTAAAAACTGGCCAGTTACAAAATGGCTACTATGGGACTGGAGTCAATCACAAAATATTGTGAGGTTCCAAGCCAAGACTACTCCTATGATAAATGCAATTTAGGGATGCCAACACACACACAAATATACTAGGGCCAAAATTGTAATGTTTTGTTTAATGCATTAATTCAAAGTCAAAGTGCCTTTCCTTTCATTTATTGGCTTCATTGACCAGAGGTCTTAAGCCAAAAAGTGTTTGTGTTTTTGTGCACCTATTGTCTTAATAAAACTTCTACAGTACACTTTAGTGTATACAAAACATAACACGACTATGTTATTTCCTGATCAAATGGAAGTCTTACATCTATATATATCTTCTTTCTTTCATGATTGTAACTTTTCATCGCTCATTCATGATACCCTTTTGTGCTTAAATCAGTATTTTATGAAACTTCTAGAAAAAACCTAAACCTATTTGACACAGCTTTAATCAAAGGTACAAATGTCAAAATGGTTTAATTGTTTCTATAAAAGTTAAACAAAAATCATTGTAATATATTTCAAATAAGTAAAAGTTGAATTATTTCTGAATTGGTACAAAGTACATGATAATTTGGTGCAAATCCCAGTCATGAAGTACAGAGAAATGGAAATATTGTTATACAACTAACATTTTAATGAACTAAAAGGAATAACTTTTTTAAACGGTTCTTTCTATTTTTATTAATACTATGGATTACTATCTTCTAGCTACATCTTCATCAAAACCCCACATTTCTTATAGTTTTAGATTTGACTTTTTCAAAATATTGTTTGATTAGTTTCTGAGGCTTTCCCCAAGTGAATGTCTTTTGCAGTGTTGCTTTTATTTTTGTAACACATCATTTTACAGTGTAACCTGTCCAGAAAAGTAATCTCTCCCTTATAATAATTGAGTAAGAACGTTCTATATGAACGTTCTAAATTTCACCTCCTTAGTGTTAGGCCGGAAAAACTGCCACTCAGTAACACTGGCTGGGTTGACTGGCTGCTTTGTGCAGTCCCGCCCAGCATTCCAAGGTTATTTGCATATGGAAGCTGATTGGACAACACTCCATTCCACACCTCAAACTCACCCCCCCGCAAGGCAGTTGGGATTTTCAGTTGCATAACAATACCTCATAGGGGAGAGGAGAATGATGTCAGCTGCCCTTTCCCTAGGCAGAGGCTGTTGGGGGGGGGGGCTTGTAAAACTTAAGACAGAGAGGCAGATAAAGGTTGGCTGATGGTTGCCAGGAAAGGACATTGGGTTGCCAACTCCAGCTTGGAAACTTCCAGGATATTTTAGGGATGAAGCCTGCTGAGGGTGGGGTCTGAGGAGGAGGAGGAAGAGGGGGACCTCAGACAGATACAATGCCATACTGCCCACACTCCAGACAAGCTGTTGCCAGTCTCCAGGTGACAGCTGGAGAGATCTTAAAGCTTTGGTGCTAATTTACGATGGGGCTCCTGGGGAACTATTGATGCCAATCTTGGCCCAGCAGCCATCAAACCATTCTCTTCAACCCCCTGCTGTGCAGCTGACTTTCCCCTAGGGTTGCCAATCTCCAGGTGGGACCTGGAGATCTCCCACTGCTACAAATGATCTCCAGATGACAGAGATCAGTTCCCCTGGAGAAAATGGATGCTTTGGAGGGTAGACCCTATGACATTACACCTGCTGAGTCCTTCCGCCCCCCCACCCAATGCTGCCCTCTACAGAATCCACCCCCAAATCTCCAGGTATTTCCCTCCTTAGAGCTGGCAACCCTACATTCCCCTCAGTGCCTGTTGGGAGTGGGTGGTGGGGGAGGGAAAGGGAGTGGGCGACCGGAGGCTTCTGCCTCCTGTCTCCGGTCCTGGAGTGGGGGGGTGGAAACGGACCCGGCAGCCGGAGGCTTGCACCTCCAGTCGCCGGCCCTGGAGTGAGTG